ATGAGCAGGCGATATACGAGATGGTCGACGAGCTGTTGATCACGATTTGGGTGAGCAGCTAAAAGTTTTACTAATAAAAGTCTGAGGCGGGGATCGGGAGAAGATTGAAAGCCGGTGCCAGTGGATCACCTGCATTTACATCTCCACGGACAGCACGTTGCTGGTAGACGGGCCAGACAATATTAATATTTGCATGCAGATGTAGAGCTTGGACACTGGCAGTCCATTCTCAGGTGATCATTCCCTGTCCTAACCAAGTGGTAAGTGTGATATGACAGAAATCTGTTGCAGGTTCGAAACCTGCTCAACAATCTTTTCCCTTTTACCATGCCTTGAACATTCACGCATGGATGCATCCTTCAAGGTCTATCCTGAGTAGTCATAGCCAACTAGCACCAGAACAGATCAGAAATCTACTCTCTTAGGTGGTGCAGGTTTGAAACTTGCCGACAAATGATTTTCCTTCTCATCACACCTTGACATTCACTCATGGACAGTTCTTCGATCGGAGGTTCATGTCAAATGTGGAGGCATCCTGGCCAAAGTGGTTACCACAACAGAATCGAAATCTGTTTCTCTTGAACTGTGCAGGTTCGAAACCTGCGCTTTTTTTCTATCCGAACACACCTTGATATTCATTCATGAATAGTTTCGCCAGAGGTTCGTATAACTGGTCTTAGCCAAGTGGTTACCCCGACAGAATCAAAATCTGTTTATCTTGGAATGTGCGGGTTCGAACCTGCCAGTTTTTTCTATCGGAACACACCTTGACATTCACTCGTGAATGGTTTCGCCAGAGGTTCGTATAACTGGTCTTAGCCAAGCGGTTACCCCGACAGAATCAAAATCTGTTTCTCTTGGAATGTGCAGGTTCGAAACCTGCCAGTTTTTTCTATCGGAACACACCTTGACATTCACTCGTGAATGGTTTCTTCAAATGTTCATCTTAACTGGTCTTATCCAGGTGGTTACCACAACAGAATTGAAATCTGTTTCCCTTAGATTGCGCAGGTTCGAAACCTGCGTTTTCTCCATCGGAGCACGCCTTGATATTCATTCATGGATGGTTTCGTCAGAAGTTCATCTAACTGGTCTTACCTAAGTGGTTGCCACAACAGAATCGAAATCTGTTTCTCTTGGATTGCGCAGGTTCGAAACCTGCCAGTTTTTTTCCTATCGGAACCCACTTTGACATTCACTTATCGATAGTTTACTCGGAGGCATATCCAACTGGTCTTTGCCAAGTGATTACCACAACAGAATCAAAATCTGTTCCTCTTGGAGTTGGTTCGAAACCTACTGACAACATTTTTGCGGTTTAGGATTCTCGGCGGTCCGATCTTAACTGGGCGCAGTCACTGTGCTGAAACCTCCTTTTTATGCAATAGTCTGTCCATAAAAATAAATTCACCTTCACGCCCCGCGAGGGTCGTCGCAGAAACAACTGACCAAAACTGTCGGGATCCACCACCAAACGAAAAATATTAATGGAGCCAGAGACCAGAAGAATGCATGCACGCAAGCTAAGGACAGAGTGAGTCTGACAGTCAGAAAGATGATGTAACCTCCCAACCTCGCTGAAGCCCCATCGATAGATATTCCTTTGGTCGTTGGCTCTAATATGACCGAAGGTGACTTAAAAGTTAAAGGTGGAAGAATTGAAAGTGGCAGGCCGAGCCACACCGTTCTGTAGTTTGTGTGCGCTCCTCTTTTTATGTCGATGAACAAAATATTATTATTTTTAATTACCGTGGCAAGACCCAGGTACCAGACAGAGATGTTAACAAAGAGGTCAACGTGAAACTCTAGAACATCCCATAAGGGAAAGCTTACCATGCAGGAGTGGCCCACCGACGGAAAAAAAGGGCTTAGCGAGAACTGAGTGACAAGTCTGTGACAAATAAGGTGTCAAATGATTGTAACCGAAAAGGCCCGAACACAAGCCGGCAGAGGGATGGGAAACCGATCATGTTCGACAAGAGCCCTCCTCCACTAATGTTGGGAGTCGAGGGGTGCGCATCTTAAACTTGGGCGCCCGTATATCGTCAGAATATCTCAGTTGTTATCAGGTTCCTTTTCCATTTCCACAGATCTTGACACCTGGAGTCCTTGAGGCTTGGTGCCTTGCTTACAATTGATCAGAAGGGCCCTACCGGCGCCAGAACACTTTTATATTAGATATGAGCTACCGCACGCCAGATACTTTGATGTTTTTTGGACTCCCGAATCCCAGACTTTTATCCTAGAGCAATCTTCCCAAATGTGTCGTTGCCTTCGAGCCACATGCGCTAAATAGCCGACGCCACACACAGCCTGGCCAAGCAAGAAAACGTAAAATGACGAGATGTGAATAAATCTGTGAAGACGTGAATCCACATCTACAATGATCTTAGAGTGGCCCACTCGCATGGATCTCGTATACTTTTTCAAGAGGCCCGCAATTGACAGATCCAAAGCGACAGCTGCAGCATCCATGCGATTGGCCATGAAATTCGCTCGTTCAAAGGCGGCCATTCGATATCATATACCCAGCTCGATCCCATGGCAGCTCGTTGACCGCTGGTTCGGTGGGCTGAGCAGTGGTGTCACGGTCAAGGAGTGCCATAGGTGTTGGACGGGATGCAAGCTCGTTGACCGCTGCCCAACGGGTTGAATAGTGGTGTCACGTTTAAGGTCTGTAGGCGTTGGGTTTTCCAAACCTCCATCCCATGGCAGCTCGCTGACCGCTGTTCCGATGAGTTGAACAATGATGTCGCGTTTCAAGATGACCGTAGGTGTTGGGTTTGCCAACCCTCATCGCCTCCGTCAGAAGTATGTTCCAAGTGCGTATGGGTGACGGGATATCACGTCCGAATGCGACTTGAGTACCAGTGCGAGTGCATTTAGTGCGTCTGCTCAGTTGTTTATGAGAGAGACCTACGGGGATGGAGCAGGGGCAGGAGGACCATGGATGATCGACGTGATGATAGGGAGAGCGACAAGGGCAGTAAAGCGTATGAGGTCGACGAGTTGTAAGATTTGAAATAAAAGATGGAATTGAGGTTAGTGGAAAGCAACCGGATATGATAGTATGAACAAGCTGGGTGAGGGGGACAGAAGAACTGGGGAGTTAGTAGCTGGGCTGCATGCCTTGTAAACGAGAGAGGACTGTAGGTGACACCCAAGAATGTGCGTCCCTCCGCAGGTCGTATGCGTCTCGGTAGTTGGATATAGCGCATGTGTTATCTCCTGGGTATGGGGTCTTGCTTCGACGGGAGATAAGCAAGAATACAAAAACACAAAGTTCTGAAACTTACCTGTGACACACTGATACGTCTGTCGAGTAACTCAGAATGACCATAGTTGTGCGAAAGATATCGGAGCTTTGAAAACATTTTAAATCCAGTCCAGCGCGACCAATACGTTTCGGCATAGATTTCTTACCACGGAGAATGTTCGTAGGCGACATTAAATTGTAGAAGGCATGCCTTTTGAATTAATGGGACGACCTCCGAGTCCAACTCGGAGCCCATGTCCAACGTGTTCCAACGCTGAAACGGCAGTGATTGACCCACTCGGTTTTACCTTAACCTGGAAGTGATCTAGTCCACGTTTAATTAGGATTCGCAGACACAGAAATAGAGCCTGAGATCTGTGGGTACGCGACGATTTTTCCAACGTTGACACGTGGGTCCCCGCCATGTTGCTGGTTCCATGAAAGTGCGCCAAAGCGCCGGGTGAAACGGATGCTTGACAATGACGCCATGGTGGTAATAAGAGCCATTTTTACGACTTGTTAGGAGGGAGCATGCGATCCATCCATGCCTCTGCATTCAGTTCAGTCCACTGTGCAAGTGGTAGCTGGAACTTTAACACGATTGGAGTAACGTCACGCAAATGGGAATTGCGTCTCCATTCAGCGTCTTACCCCGAAGATCGTCGAACTGAGGGGAACTCCACATTGTAGAACATCGTACACGCTAACGCCGGTTTTAGGGTGCTGCAGTATCATCGAAGCTTACGTCTCTTTCAAACACAATCCGTCTTATTCGCCCACCTGGGCTGCCAGCACATAATGCACCAGTCAACACGTCGAACGACTCTATCATACATCAACTCACCCATCAATTTCAGTTCTGGCCAATTCCGAGGAAGATGCGTGCGTGCGAAGCTCGTGGAGATACAGAAAGCAGACCTAGGACGAAAGTGAAAACGGTGCCTCTTTCACCCGTTTCCATGCGGCTGACCATGCATGCAGGTACGCTCGTGTAGACCGACGCCCTCTCGATCCACCACCAGTGGTCCAACTCAGGTTATACTACATACACAATGAGGGTGACCATGAATCCGAACACGAAGTTCAAGACTACGAGTAAGTTGTTACCGCCCAGGATTCCTGGTTCTGCTGCGATATTTATTATCTTTTACAGCGAGATACAAAACCTTGGATTACTTTGCAATGTCGACCTGTTTCCAGTGTCTACTCAGCCTGATAGCTCATCGGAGCCAGGCTCCCTCCCCCGTCTCCCTCACCAACTTTCGCCAGTAGTCCAACCCATTCGCCCCCCCTCTGGCGGCTACTCACTACCTTCAATCTCGTCCACCGATCAATTACCTCCCTTAAGCAGTTCGAGTAGGATTCCTGTGTCAGATGCTAAGCTCCCCCACCTTCCTCCCTATGTCCATCACGACCCATTCCAAATTCCTGAACACATGAAATGTACTATGGCACTCTCAGGTGCCACCTTCGTTCAGCCGGCTTGTATAGACTATGGAGGCAAGAGAGCTCTTGTCTTTCCATTTGCTGTACGTCTTTCATCATAGTCGGGAACTTGCTCTCACATGATACGTACACCAATACAGGACCTTGCGGTGAGAATCGAGGGCGACTTCTTCCTCCGCTACCGCATTTTCGATCTCTTTTCGCGCACGGCAGGTCTAGTAGATGTGCCAGTGCAGGCTGAGTGCTATGGCGGTTCATTCCACATATATTCAACCAAAGAATTTCCTGGTTTACAACCTTCAACAGAGCTATCCAAGGTAACCGGGTACCCTTTCAGAAGCAACTTTTGACTGACAATTTGTCGGATTTCTAGCAACTCTCTAGATATGGTGTACGACTCAATACCCGCGAGACGGAACGCAAGCGCAAGAAAAAGGTTTCCAACAGTACCGTCATTCCATCTCGAGCAAGCAGACGCAGAGTCACAAGGATTCCGCAGAGCGGGAGCGAGTGTGATTGAATTTTCTGCGGTGTGAGATTATGGACCAGGACGATTACATTCAAGGGACTTGGCATGCTCATTTGGTTGAAATTTCATAATATCTGACAAAAGCATATGTGCATATACACGGATTGAGCATATATATACTGTTTTGCTCTTGACTTGGTTGATTCTGTTCGTGTGAGGTCTACGCTGGCATGTTCACTGCCGACACGAACGGAAGATCTGAGTCACTGCAAGGGCACACTGGTGAGTCGACAGTGAGATGACAAGGAGAAATTTGCTCACTCTTCGCATCAGCATCGTCCTTCGACATGCCATCGAATGCTCCCTGTTCAAATCCATCGGAGTACCATTCATCATCACCGCATTGGCTGGCAATCCAATCCTCAGTCGACATGCCAGCTTCAGCCGCTCTCTCTTCAATTTCCCTAGCAACCCATTCCTCAAATTCGCCAGGATCCCATCCATCACCCGAGTCAAACTCGCATGTAGTGGTAATTTTGCAATCTTGTTCATAAACTTCAAGTTGAAAGCCCCTTTCGGTGGCCCTGACAGGCATCGTCTTCGCTTTCTGCAAGGGCTCCTTTCCTCCCGATATTGGTTTAGCCACACCAGTACCTGCAGCACCCTCGGATAGAGCTTTAGGATGTAGCTTGCCCCCAAATTTGTCCGGAATACCCTTCTTGACTGACTCCAGTCGGGAGACCTGTACATCCATATGAATTCGATATTCTCAGCCTAGAAATATTTCTCACTTTCACTTTCAATTCTGTAGGCTGTTCCTCAGTCATACTAGCCGGAGTTGCGGTGGAATCTTCTGAACTGTGGCGGGGAATACCCCATTTCGTACCAGCAGACCTTAACTTGTATGGTGGCTGACCAAATTAAATGCATGTTGTTATGGGATGGGTTCAAAGCAAGAGTGTATCTACTTGCCTTGGCTGCTGTACCCTTCGCAGTCGTGCTCTTGGGCATAGTAGTTAGCGGGTACCTGCGTAGATGGCAGGTTTCAGGTCATTTCAAAGGAACTAGATTGCGTCATACCATGCCCCTGAGAGTCTAAGCTGAGCAACAGGAGATTGACGATCACGATTTATTTGGCTATGTATTTATACAGAGTATAGTACTGTGTGGGCGTGAATATGCTACATGAGTAGTTGTCTAGATTAAGCAGCCTGTGCAGAATGAAAAGGTATCGGTATTTGGGCAGGATGAGTAGCATATCAATGCGAGAGCCCTCCGTAATGTCCTTGGTATCAAATAAGACTCTGGCACTGGGGGCACACAAACACGAGAGAGCTCTTCCTCTTCGGGGGAATAGCTGCTTCGACGTCCACCTTATCCTCCCAGTCAGTAGGTAAAGAAGAATCGTCAAGCAAGCTGCGGTAGATCAGTTGGCGAGCCGCCACCACCGCTCTCACATTCCCGACAACCCCCCCGCTTGCACACCTTTTACAATCTGTTGCTGAGCCGCCTTGACAAGCTCTTCCGGAAATTGCTCAAGAGGATCTGATATCGAAGATTCAAGTCCCTTTCTTCTTTTACGGCATGATCGTGTGCCGACTAAGTCTTCGATAGATAGCTTTTCATCTGTATCGGGCCAACTTTCGATAAACTTTCGGGCCCTGGCAGCTGCATTTAATTTTTGTGTCGGTCTTTTCAGACACTCTTGATGGAAGGCTGCGCGGCAAGCTGGACGCGGGCAGAAATGCATTACTGGGTCTCGATCGGATTGTAAGATACACCGCAACAACAAGCAGTACGCGTAACATTCGGCTGTTAAAGGGATGGATATTATCACTTCCACTTCAAGTAACCGATGTACACTCACGTGGATTTTCCGAGCGCGGTATTCCAAGTCAAATCGACAGTAGAATTCATCAGAGTCGAACACCCCTTGGTCGACAGCGCGTTCATCGTATCTCACGACAGTTGCATGATCTACATAGACAGAGTTCAAACTGATGATGTAACACGAGAAACAGAAATTTACCACAGAAACTTGCCGTAGATACATAATCATAGTAATCTGACATGATTCGTTCATATTGGCCACAGTCACTGACATCACTTTGATACTTCAGAACATATTGTTCAGATGTCAATTCTCCGTACACTTACAAGGACTTGATTACAGAGTTGACTTCCTGAGGCGACCAGAACCACTGTACGAGAACCCATACCTGCGTCATGGCTGAGCGAAGATAATACCAGAGTCAGTGGCGAGACATACATCTTCTTCGTTTCTTGCCCTAATTTGTTTGATTTTACCAATCCAATATGCAGTTGGATGATGCATTTTGTCCGGAAGCACCCTTCTGGTAGAATAAATGCGCTGTTGAATGTCAGTGTTTGTTACGTCTTACTGTAAGTCAGACACGAACGTTTCTTGAGTGGAAAATTTATGCGGTCCCCCTCTTCATCAGCGACTAAAATCCAAACCAGCCACCACGTCACAGTCAAGTTGAAAAACAAAACAGTGAAGATATCGTACCTACAAACGAGGCAAAATTTGCATCGTTTTCCATTCGCTATCGGTGGGTATGCCGATTATACACCTTGCCTTTGTTGCTTTCTTACGCGTGAAACGTGACTTCCTCTTACGCCGAGGCATGTTGGAAAGTGAAGTTAGAGACGACAGATTAACTTTCAGCACTCAACGTCTCTTGACGTTGTCCAAGTTCAATCTGTTAGACGTGAAGAGACCTGAAGGACGCGTCTGTGGCACAAAGATCATTGAAATGCAGTTGATGATGTAATCATTCTATGTAAAGGGATTATTAATAATTAACGTTGTACCCTGGTGGC